GAGAAACTCGTGTCCTTTACTGACGAATTTTAAAATAGCTTTCAAATATATAGGTGGATAAATGTTTAAAATACTATTTACAATATATCAAACTAAAACTGGAACACGCAACACGGTTTTACAAAGGGCGTTCTTGGCTTACTAATTTATTAGCTTTTTCGCTAAGTGACTAAGGTATTCGAACTAATGTACATCAAGATAAGGAAAACGATATGTATATGGACTTTTAGTGTCCCGCACAAGAAACTGGTGAAGAACGCAGTAGCACATGGTACAGGATTGGAATTCTCTCTTGGCTCGAGTTAGGCTGCCTGTATGGGCGTGTTTCACCTTATACCTATTGGAATGCTAATCAACTCGGTGGCCTGGTGGCTCAAGCTCTCGCCTCACACACGGAGGGCCCGGGTTCGATTCTTGGCGGGGTGGAAACATTTCGACGTGTTAGTCGACTGGTGTGGATCGCATCCTGGGGGACAAGATAGAGGACCCCCATTGGAAATAAGTTACAGTCCTCGGTGACGCACTGACTTTCTTGGATTATACTGGGTGGCTAACCCTCCTGAGTTAAAAATCCGAAGAAAATCTTATCTTATATATCCTCTGGAAAGTGCTGCGAATCTTAAGAACAAGTGTGCAGAAATAGGGAGAAATCAGAATGGGGACACGTTACAAGAGGTGTGCCATGGGGGTCAGTATTGTTACCCTAGTTCACAATCTGCGTAAAAGGTATAAAAGAGGGGAATATATAGCTACATATATATTTAGGACACTTGAAATCTATAGGATGGCCTGGATAGATGTGATATTGTGGACAGAGAAGTGGCAGATACAATTCAATGCGGACAAATCTAAGGATTTAAAGAAATATTACTATGGTACTTATAAAACTAAATAATGTGGAACTTAGTCAAAGGAAAAGTGAACAGAAAAAAAAAGTTTAGGATTATTGTTAAGCAGGAATGTAAGCCAAGACAACAGTGCGTAAGTGTTCACAATAAAGCAAATTGTGTTCCTGGCTTCATATCAAGAAGTATAAATAACAGTACAAAGGTTATAATTCTGTTTTATACATCTTATAGTTAGGTCTCATTTAGATTATGCTGCTCACTTTTGAAAGCTCCACATTACAGAATGGACATAATTTTACTGGAAGACATACAGAGAAAAATGATTTCCTACGAAGATACCCTGAAGGCCCTTAATTTGCACTATCTGGAGAGACGTAGAATTAGGGGATATGATTACAGGATACGTATGGAAAACAGGAATAAATAAAAGGAATAAAAACGTGTTGAAAATATCTAACCAAGACGGGGATCTCAGCAACAGATTGAAGTTGGACAAATTGAGATTTAGAAAGGATGTAAGGAAGTTTTGGTTTGATAATACTGATAGGTAAGTGGAACAAGCTCCCAGACAGCGTCATTGTGGAGAGAACATTGGGCAGCTTTAAATATAGGCTGGACGAGTATGATTGGGTTTGCATTAGACTTGCCTAGCATGGGTCTACTGTAGTTTCCCTTATTTATTTTTGTGTATGCGATATACCTTTGAAGACTTTCGAGAGTTTTCCTAGTCTCGTAGCCTAGCCCTGGGCCAGGCTTGTTCTCTGTATGAAAGCATTCAGCGGGCGGGCCTCGATAGTTCTTCAATACAGCTCCACCCAGTCTCGTGTTGCCCACTTTTTGCTACCCCATTTTACCGTAGTGGCGGCCATCTTTGTTGTCCTTTTTATATATTTTTTATTAGGCCCCGCCTCGCACATCCTGCACGTTTCTGCACGTCTCGACCCTCCTCACACATCCCCGCCCCTCCTTGACCCACCCTGCCCCATCACTCATCTCCACTTCTGCTGCTCCTCGTTCCTACCATGTGTGTCAACCTTCGTCCTGGTCCCCACTCATGATAAACAGTCGTAACACCATACTTATGTGCCTTGGAATATTTTAAATGTGATATTATCACTTCTTGTTTTTCGTACTACCAGAGTGGTAGGCATCAGCGCAAGCAGTCTTCAAGATTTTATTGTTCAGTGCATTTGCCATCTTAGTGGAGAACTGTACTGTGTAGAACTACTGCATCCTTGCTATTAGGATGTATTTTTTTTTTTGCACTATCACCATGTATAATAACGCTGTTTTAAGATTATCTCCATCGTGACATAATTCTCGGTGTATATAAGAGAGAGGTGCGGGACTTTGTCTTGGTGTATTTATAGTAAGATACACACACCTTTCGGTATATATACACTGGCATCTCGGTGTATATGCACTGAGACATACACACTTCTCGGTAAATGTAAACTGAGACACATCTTTGTATATACGAGACGCTCATACCAACCATACACATCTCGCTGCTACAGACTTGATCTTGATGTGGTTCGCCGGTGTTGTCCCGGCCCGGGTGTTTTCCAGTTGGTGACCCGGCAAGAGCTAAATTCAATTACATTTATATTCATGGGGTAGCGGGAAACCAAGGGTGCCTGATTAAACCTACTAGACTATCAGTACCCAGATTAGGCCTACCAGGGTATCATATATATATATAAAATTTTGTATAGCACAGTTTTCTATTGAAGTTAAATCGTTTTAATTAATTTGCCAATCAATTAGTTATAAATGACCATTATTTTTAAAGGGGTGGACCGGTAAGCCAGCGGAAGGCCTCGGTCAGATGACCAAAGCTCCAAAGGCTGGTCAACATCTAAGACCCGCGTCAGGAAACACTTGTCCTGTTTCCTGACAAACCTTACCTAACCTAACCTTAATTTGCCATTGATTATTTGCATTCTCTAAAGCTTTATATCATTACGTTGCCACACGCAGTGAAGTGCTTGTTACGGTGGTTCGTGGCCTGGTAGGCAGAGTCTTCACTTTACACGCTGACCGTCCGGGTTCGATTCTCGGCAAGGGTAGAAACATTAGCCGTGTTCCCGTACACCGGTTGTCCATGTTCACTCATCAATAAAACTGGGTACCTGGGTGTTAGTCGACTGGTGTGTATCGCATCCTGGGACAAAGTTGATCTAATTTGCCCGAAATCGTAAGCATAACAAGCGGCTTTCTATATAGTAGTATGTCACTGACGTCTGCTAGGCCTGTATACCCTGTACATGTGCGTACTTTTAGAAATAAATATTATTATTATTATTGGCCCTTGTGGTTTAACGCTTCTTTTTATCATAATAATAATAATTATTATTATTACGAATGATTTACAATGAACATTTGGGGAGGTTGATCTTACGTAACTTTATAATGCCAGCCTCGTCCATGGGCCAGGCAGAGACGGGGGCAAGCAGGTACTTGGACACAATGGCGATATGCCGACCTTTACTGAAAAAAAAATGAACAATGTAGAATTAAAGAACTCTTCTGTATTTGTCTTTTTTTCACCAGACAGTAAGGCAGATACGTAGGTATGCAAGCAGGCTCATAGGCAGAAAGACAAGCAGGCTGATAGGCAGAAAGGCAAGCAGGCTGATAGGCAAAAAGACAAGCAGGCTGATAGGCAGAAAGACAAGCAGGCTGATAGGCAAAAAGACAAGCAGGCTGATAGGCAAAAATACAAGCAGGCTGATAGGCAAAAAGACAAGCAGGCTAGGTAGGCTCTGTGGGACCACCCAGTTGTCATATTAATTGGGAAGATTTTATTTTTTTTGAGTGGGAGTGGTTGGCTGACACATTATGATGATTAGCTGACACACTTTAATGACAGACTGACACATGCTAATGATTGGGTGATACTGTGAAGGTTGACTAACATTGTAATGGAGGTCAGTGAAGAAACTAGCGGCTCCCTCTACCTCTTTTTCTTGATGACTTGCCTGACGGCGCCAGGTTGCCTTACCTGGGCCAAGTAACGGTGACACCACTCTTGAACCTCTCAAAGCAGGGAAGGAGGGAGGCCTCTGTGATGAAGTGCTCTTGATCAAGTAATCTGAGCTAACCCCCATTATCCCTGTGCTAGAACAAAATACGTCAGCACAGAAACATTTCAGGTGACTAAGGTGGAAGGAACGAAACATCTTCAGTAAAGGTGGCCTAAATGAACGTGCTACATTCTTTTTCATCTCTCAATGTTCCTATCCACCTTATATTTATTATTATGTGTCGTAATTGTATAAACCCTAGCCCTGCCTTCTTCCAGGGATTAAACCGGGAGCAGGTTTAGTTAGGCCCAGGTATGCATACCTACGATAACCTCCCCCCCCCAAAAAAAAAAAAAAAATCCAGTGACTTATTTACATTGGTACCTTTCGTATGAACTCTTATGTGCCACAAGGTTGCACTTTATGCTGCTAAAACTAATCAAAATACTCTTGAGATGTGGTTTATCTGCTTTCATACTTTCTATTTTTTTACACAATGGTATTTTTGGCTAAAATATTTGACACCACGTGCAGTATTATCTTGCTTATCAGCCCTATTATTTGCCGAATTAGGATGAATCCGAACACTTCCAGATACCCACGACATTCACTTATTTCATGGTCCCCAATTATTGCCGATTCAATCTTCTTTGGCTATGATTACACACAATTAAATTAGGTAACACTCAATTTCACGTTTACATTCTGCCATTTTACGTTGCACTTTCCCGGTGTGTTGGTTCTTATGTGACTTGATTTTTTTCTAAAAGTCACACCAATACTACATTAAATAAACATTATTATATTTTTTTCAATTTTTGTACACTAATTTCAGGAAAATTATAAAGATTTTCCACATATGATATAAGATGGCGTTTTTGGCTAAAATATTTCAGACACCTTGATGACTTAGTGTATCATTGTTTATCTTCTGTTTGAACTGTTTGTATTACAAGAATGAACTTTACAATAATTTTTTTTTTAGATATCCGGAAGATTGATATGGTTTATCTCCTGTAGAATCACATGTATTTTTTTATGCAAATCTTGTGCTTTTTTATTATTTTGGAATTTTTCTAGCAATACTGTATTTGATTATTACCCAGAATTCTTGTTTGACTTTCAGTCGCAGCTTCAGCAGCACTAGCAGCAACAATGTGTCATGGCTGCAGATGCAACAACGTAAATTGGCAGAAAGGCGAGAAGCCAAATTCCGAGCTGAGAGAGGACCTCAGGAGGCTCGAATGCTCTCTGAACTACGCACTCGTATGAGCCAGGTATTCAATTATTTGTATAGTATTTATTAAGAAGGGCCAAACCTTAAGGCTCATACAGCATCTGGGGAATGGATGGTAAATAGGTTTGATCTAAGGAAGGGTGAGCCAGATATAGAAGTTATTTCTGTAAATTCATGGTGAGGCACTGAATATCTTATGTTGTTGATCATGACCTGTTGCACCACAGCAACAGCTCATCAGGTGGGATATACTTATCCCAATCCATCTGCTTCAGGATCAGTAAAACAAGAGATGATACCTGATTGTCTTCAAGCTGGCACTGGACAAGCACCTAAAGTCAGTTCCTGATCAGCCGGGCTGTGGCTCGTACGTTGGTTTGCGTGCAGCCAGCAGCAACAGCCTGGTTGATCAGGCGCTGATCCACCAGGAGGCCTGGTCACAGACCGGGCCGCGGGGGTGTTGACCCCCGAAACTCTCTCCAGGTAAACTCCAGGTAACAGCTAATGAAAACTGGAAGGGTTAAAATCAGTGAAACCCAGAGCAAGGAAGGAAGTTATGAGACATGCCAATAAAAGCACACAGCGCAAATAAAGGCAGTATTATTTTGTCAAGTTAAAATAACTCATATTTAAAAACTCCATTAAATTGTCAGTATTAAAAGACTAAGAAAATTTTCCCAGGGTCCCTACAGGTACTCTGGAAACCACAACAAAAGCAGAAGGGTAGAAGCTGCTGGTAAGCAGTAAAAAAAAATATTCATTGCAGTCAGCTATATGCTATAGGTCACACAAGAGATGGGTAGCAACACCTGCAAGCACATGGCTATGGGTGAGGTATGTGGGCACTATCCTCACTACATATACTGAAAGTGACCATTCCTGTTGAAGAAAGCAGACATGTGTGGAAGAAAAAAGATTATTGAATTGTTTAAAAAATAATGTACTGTACTGTATCACAACTTAGGAAAGAAAATCTAATTCAACAGATTATTGATACAGAGCAAAGACTTAAGCATTCATACCAGAATGAAGAGGCACAAAGGAAACAAAAAGTCATGCAGGAAAGTGCAAAAAAAAAAAAAATCCTAAATATTTCTACAAATAAGCAAAATCAGAAGTTGAGAACCCCCTGTCAAATTCTTAAGCTGTCAGGAAAAGAGTGAGATCTTAAAGATCACCCTTGATAGGTTTCGAGAAAGGTCACCTTTGATACACTTTGGATCAGTTTCGAGAGTTCTACTCCTGCAGCCCGGTCCTGGGCCCAACTTGTCTAGTGTTTGATTGATCAGCCAGGCTGTTGCTGCTGGCAGCCCTCTGGCCCACATATCCATCACAGCCTGATTAATCAGGCACTTCGTGGAGGTATTTTTGGAGTTTCATCTTGAAGACTTCTACACTCTACCAATGTTTCTGACATCATTTGGCAGAGTGTTGAATACAGTATTCTCTTACTGTGACCAAGACATGCAATACTGTAAACATGGCTCACAAAGGGTGACATTACCCACTGTAGAATATTACTGGTAATCACTTGTCAGTGAGAGGGATAGTTATACCAGTCTGCAGGACTTGTACATAATTATTAGTTTGTAATAGCTGATCCTTTATATAGGCTACACTACAAGGACAGGTGTAGAAATCTTCTTAAAGAAAGTGGAAAAGTATCTTCTCCAGGTGCCAGATCAACCAGGCTGTGATGGATATGTGGGTCAGCAGATCACCAGCAGTAACAACCTGGTTGATCAGGCAAGCACTAGCCAAGTCTAGTCCATCAAAGGTATATTCTCATTCCTTTTACATATTTCTGTGAGCACTTGGTTTATTGGGAACACTGAACCCATAGAAGTCATAGAGCACCAGAGGAATGGGAAGCAAATAGGTTCAGTCCAAGGAAGGAGAAGACAGCCCCACCTAGGATCATGTGCCTTTCAGTGGCATCTAATTATCCTCAGTGAGATGAGCAGGAATATGTAATCCTTAACACAACCATGGGCATGCCAATAGACATGCCTCACCCAGCCTGGCATGAAGTGCTTGCTGGTGAGGCCAGCCTGGCATTAAACACTTGCTGCTGAGGCCAGCATAGCATGAAGCACTTGCTAGTGAGGTCAGCCTGGCATGAAGCACTTGCTAGTGAGGTCAGCCTGGCATGAAGCACTTGCTGGTGAGCCCAGCCTGGCCTCTTAAAATCATTTGTTCAGTTCCTCATAGGCTATCTTGCTGTTACTCTTGAACTCTCTTCCTTCCTGCTTCAGTCTTGTTACCTGATCATTAACTATTGGTAATCTTAGGATGTAGCTGTGAAGCAGCTTCGATTCAGTCAGTGCTGTCTTTTTTGTTGTTGTATACTATCCTATTCACCACCATCCCTTAAGTCATCTGTGTGGATGTGCAAGATTGCTGAGAATTTTTTGGGATGAGGATGTTCTTGCCCCTTTTTAAGAATCTAAAATATCAGTACATGGGAAAGCAGTTGTTTCTGGTATACATGATCCTGGAAAGGTCCTCCACTGACATTCCTTGATGAATACTGGAGTGTCCCTCCACTACATGGCAATTATCCCTATTGTTATTGGATTCTTCCTTTGTGTATGAATCAGTCCTGCAGCTGCATTGCACTTCAGGCAGGAGGTTTGACCATTACTCAGTGTGCAAAGCACAATCGCTAGATTTTGCCTTCCTACAGCCTCAAAGAACAGAAATGTTTACCAAAGATCTTGATTATATGAGCAGACTTTCCCTGGCTACTGACAGAACTTGTCACCTCCCTTAGAATCATCCATGCTGAAGAGTAAACAGTGAGGTGTTGACCACTGGGGCGATGGTTAAAAAAATTAAGAGACATAATGAGTCCAAAGTGATTGTAAAGTAAACACAGGAGGTTAGAGAGGTAGGCGTTACCTGTTGCTGTCTTTCTTGTGGTTCATTATAAACCAAAGCAAAAATATTATTACTGTATTTATTATTATTATTGTTATTATCAGTCATCTTTGTGTATAGTGGTAAATATACAGTATTGACCTGACCCTAAAGTAAATCATTGGTGCATCCTTTGTACTGTTAATGTTTCTCGAGTTTTGCAAAATGCTGAACAGACACTTTCAGATGTAAAAAAAACTGCCACTAACAGTCATTTATAATACATCATACCTTTTACCAAAAGCAACAGCGCACAACTGCCACCGGTTCCAAGGAATTTGAAGATGGCTATGTTAGTGACACTACACTTCTGTCTGAAACATCACGAGAGTCCTCCCCAGTGAAGACATTGCCTCCGTTAACAATTAATACTGGAGTTGCGCCAACCACACCCCAGAAGCCTCCCATTGGCCATTCTACCCCAGCTAGGGGCAACTCAGCTCCTTCATCTCCTATTCTGCCTACCAGGTCAGCCTCACGGGAACGCTCAGTCAGGTAAGGTTGGTAAAATGACTCATACGAAAACTCCTCTGCTCTGCATCTATCGCAGAAATATTCTTTCATCTGATTATAGATTTAAATGTTTTTTAGATGTTTCTTTATATATATATGAATGGTATAAATTAATCTACATGGAGAAAAACAGAATACTGTAATAATAATTATATTCAAGGGAAAGTACTAAACCCATAGGTATCATACTGAGTCAAGGATATGGGAGGTTATCAGGTTTTATCTGATGAAGGGAAAGTTATTATTATTATTATATTCATGGAGAAGTCCTAAATCTGTAAGGGTCATACAGTGCTTGGAAGGGAAGGGCAGTCCCACTTTTTTTGGATCAAGAGCTCTTCACCAGCATCAAGGAGCCCCAATCCCTCTTGAAGGGAATAAAACAAAGTGGCCAAAATTTACAATACTCTACTTTGGTTTTATTTTTGTCATGTTGATTTGTTTGCACTATTGGCCAATGCTTATTACACTTGTATTTGAATATGCATTAGTACAGTACATATATTCTTTTTGCTGTACTTGTTGTGATTGTACTAGTATTACTTTTCTTCCTCAGAAATAATGCGCCTTCAAACAGCCAGCGAAGTCTTCCCAGAAAGCAGCCTGACATGTTAGAAAGGGAGAGACCTTTTGTAGCTGTTAAAAGGGCACATGAACATGCCAAGCCAAGTGAATCAGTGGTGTGTACATTACACTGATTTTAATTTGAAATTTTGTCTTATGTAACAATGCACAATTAGCTCACAAAATGTAGATAAACATTTTGTAGATATTTTGGTCCATCTTAAGCTATTATTAAGTCAGACGTGATAATGATCAGGAGGGATTGAGAGTTCAGATTACCTTAGTATACTTTTTTAGATTTAGTGTTTCCTTTTTGATTAGCTTCATTGCAAAGTGAATTACTTTCAGAATGTCCAGTAATGAGCAAAGCATTGGCAATCTATTTACATAATATGTACAACAATGACATTGAAATTAAAATGACCAAAGCATGTTCACATTTGACAAAAAATAAGCACAGATAAAAGAACAAATTATATTAATTTCCTAGTTTGTTAAAGTACATTGTTTTTTTCAGGATTCTTCAGCAGCTCTTAGTCAGCTGCAAACCTCTCCACATGGCCATATTAACTACTCATCATACTCTTCATCCAGTCCAGTTGATGGTCTTCTAACAACAGTTGTTTCATCATCAAATCAGGTTGGTGTATATTTTTGAATATTTGATTTTTTAAAGCATGAGTTGAGTGGATAAGGTCTGCATGTGATGATGCTAACTGGGGAGTTTAAGTCTTGGTATGTTAATTCTGCATATCTGAGTGACCTAACAACTGCTGGTCAGGTATTTTTTTATATTAATGGAGATATAAATACAGTGGAACCTTGGCTTACGAACTTAATCCGTTCCGTGACCTTGTTCGTATCCTGGTTTGTTCGTATGCTTAGTCAATTTTCCTCGTTTAAATTAATTGAAATGCCATTAATCCATTCCAGCGGAATTCCTGCTCTCAGGAGGCACAACAAAATAATGCTAATATCAATTCTATGGCTTATTTATCAATCACAATTCATCTAATATGACATAAACAATATAAATAACATAGAAACCTGATATACACAGTAGAATGAGTAAAATATGTCATTACATATGTGGCTAGTGGTGACGGTGGCTGAGGAGACTAGCGGGCATTCTCGCTCCCGCTATGAAAACATCTCCCATGCTTCCTCTTCAGACGTGTTATTCTAAGAGAAGACGGAGTTTGTGAGGCTAACTGTATTAGATCACTACTTTTATAAGGAAAACATAATGTAGAAATAAACTGGTGTATGTGCACTTAATTGCTACAATTTATCACTGAACTTAATTGCCACAATTTTTTTTTATCTCGCTTCACTATTCATCGATTTTTGGCTTTTTCTCCATGCTTTTCACACTTTCATCTGCAGGGCGTTTCAATAAAAACCTGTCCAAGGAGGTTTGTTTCTTCCTCCCTTTCAGAATGTTTTGGAAATGAGTTACGCAAACATCATTACATAGCTCCAACGCACGACCACTTAAAACTTTCTCTGGGTGTTTCCTTTCAATTAAGTCATACCCTGTGTTACGCTAGTACTGCCTGGCCACACCTAGCTGAGGTAAACTTGATTTCCAGTGTTTTGCTGATGGTGGCAGCATTCTAAAAGTTTCTCCTCACTGTTATTAAATATTATTATTATTACTATTATATTGTATTATTATTATTATTATTATTATTATTATTATTATTATTGTTATAATTATTATTAGTAGTACAGTGGTACCTCAAGTTTTGAACAGCTCCCAGCTCAAACAGTTATGTAAGTGTATTTTTGTAAGTGCTTTTGTAGGTGTATTTTGGGGGGTCTAAAACAGACTAATCTAATTTATATTATTCCTTACGGGAACAAATTCGTTTGATATCGGCACTCGCACAACCTTCTAGAATGAATTAAGTTCATAACTCGAGGTACTACTGTATATATACGTATTATTATAATTATTATTAGTAGTAGTAGTACGTACGGATGGATTTATGAAGGATGAGGTTAATCATAGAATTGATGAGGGAAAAATGGTGAGTGGTGCATTGAGGTATATGTGGAGTCAAAAAACATTATCTGTGGAGGCAAAGAAGGGAATGTATGAAAGTATAGTAGTACCAACACACTTATATGGGTGTGAAGCTTGGGTTGTGAATGCAGCAGCGAGGAGGCGGTTGGAGGCAGTGGAGATGTCCTATGTAAGGGCAATGTGTGGTGTAAATATTATGCAGAAAATTCGGAGTGTGGAAATTAGGAGAAGGTGTGGAGTTAATAAAAGTATTAGTCAGAGGGCTGAAGAGGGGTTGTTGAGGTGGTTTGGTCATTTAGAGAGAATGGATCAAAGTAGAATGACATGGAGAGCATTTAAATCTGTAGGAGAAGGAAGGCGGGGTAGGGGTCGTCCTCGAAAAGGTTGGAAGGAAGGGGTAAGGGAGGTTTTGTGGGCGAGGGGCTTGGATTTCCAGCAGGCGTGCATGAGCGTGTTCGATAGGAGTGAATGGAGACGAATGGTATTTGGGACCTGACGATCTGTTGGAGTGTGAGCAGGATAATTATTTAGTGAAGGGATTCAGGGAAACCGGTTATTTTTATATAGCCGGACTTGAGTCCTGGAAATGGGAAGTACAATGCTTACACTCTGAAGGAGGGGTTCGGGATATTAGCAGTTTGGAGGGATATGTTGTGTATCTTTATACATATATGCTGCTAAACTATTGTGTTCTGAGCACCTCTGCAAAAACAGTGATTATGTGTGAGTGAGGTGAAAGTGTTGAATGATGATGAAAGTATTTTCTTTTTGGGTCACCCTGCCTCGGTGGGAGACGGCCGACTTGTTAAAAAAAAAAATAATAATTATTATTATTAATTTAGGGAACTGGAGCACAGATCCAATTCTCTAGATCAAGAGCCCCTCACCACATATGTACTAATAATAATAATACAATATAATATTAATAATAATAATAGTAATAATAATATGTAATAACAGTAAGGAGAAATTCAGAAGGCTGCCAGTAGTTGGCACCACCATCAGCACAACATTGGTAACCACTACCACTTTCCACCTGTCTAGACTTAAGTACGTAGTCTATAAGTATTAGGTTAAGTCTGCCTGAAATGCCTTGGCATGATAGTGGCTATCTTTGTTTCAATCATATTATGATATGTAAACACACATTGTAACCTTTGCAAAGAAATAAATATTTTATTTATTTCTTTGCAAAATTTAGGGGGAAGTTCGCATCCTGAAATTTCATACGTATCCAGAAACAAAAAAGCGACCGAACGACTTCGTATCCTGAATAGTTCGCATGATGGGGCGTTCGTAAGCCGAGGTTACACTGTATCAGAATTCTATTTGAGTGTAATGATAGTAAAGTACAAAGGTCTTAAATGTTAAATTTCCAATATATTTTAGAGACTCAAGGTTTAATAGGATTTCTGAGTATTGGAAACCGGGAAAAGAATGAACTCTACAAATAGTCGTCGACTTATGACCTGGTTAGGTTCCGACTGACTGGTTGTAAATCAAATTGGGCGTAAGTCGGATAGGTATTGTAATTATGTATTTAATAATCTTTTTATCATCTTTTTTTCTTAATTTTTTTTTTTACCTTAGAAAAGGTTTAATTCAAACATGTGTGCAATTTGTTTAAAATTAGAGTTAAAATATAAAATCAAAATTGAAATAAAATACAGATTCACTATCATACGGCCTCATTTGTGCTGTGGATGGTTGTAAGTTGATAGGTCGTAAGTCAACGACTATCTGTATTACCAGTATTTTAGCTGTAGTTGAAACAAACTTTAGAATACAATTTCTTTTTGAAAAAAAATAAATGTAGTATAATGATCCTTTTAGCATATTTGTTTTCCTCATAAATAGTTTTATACAGTACTTAGATATCAGAGCCAGAGGCCTGGGACTTCTTTCTGAATTAAAAGGAGGACTAAAGTATTGGTATATAAAATCTGTACTGCATTAGCATAACAGTATTGCACTGTTTTCCCTGACTCCTGGGACTCTTAAATGATCAAGGTCCCAGAACCAAAACATCTTCAGTGAAGATATCCTAAGTGAATGCTCATGTTTGGCTCCCTCAAATTATCGGCAACCATATGCTTTCTTACTACATAATGTTTACCTTGAGAGGGAAGGGGTAGATCATTTCTATTCTTGTAGATTAGTTAAAATGCTAGAAATAGATTACCTAAAATAAAATAAAGTTTACACATTGCACCGCATGATGGTTTTGGATTTATCTTGAATTCTTTAATGCTTTTCAATAACCGAGACCTGACATGATTATAAATGAGTACTGAAATATTGTGAGTATCAAAATATGTAACGTACTTTAATAGTAGTGTTCTTTTGTGCTGTAAGGCTATATTATGTAAACCATATTTATAAGGCATTGCAGAGAGTAAGGGCAAACTCAATGTTTAAACTAAGGTAAAAAAAAAAGTCTTAATACAGCCCCTAATTTACAAATGCTCCAAAATATACACATCCTCATATATAAGTGAGGCACTTACAAACCAGATTAAGTTTGTCAACAGCTGAAAAGCTGTTGACAAACTTAATTTGGTTTGTAAATTTTTTTTTTTAACACATCGGCCATTTTCCACTGAGGCACAGTGTAAAAATAATGTGTGAAAATAACCATGTGTGAAAAATAACCATACTTTGTACCCTTTGTTTACAATATAAATAATTTTCATAAATTTAGAAAGAATGCAACTTGTACGAATTTATGAAAGAAAAAAGAGAGCCAATGAGAGAATAGGTAAGATGTTATCAACAAATTTTGTTGAAAATAAGAAAAAGTTTTGGAGTAAGATTTGTTAAGTTAAGTTAAAAAGATTTGTTAAGTTAAAAATAGGAGAAGAGAGTTATTAAATGAAGAGTGAGAGGTATTGGGAGGATGGTAGTAATATTTTGTGGAATCATTAAATGTTGATGAAGATAGGGAAAGAGGAATAACATCTTGTAGGAGTCAGGAAGAGCCAGCTGTGAGTGTGGGGAAAGTGCGTGAGGCAATGGGTAGAATGAAAGGGGGTAAGGCAGCTGGAATTGATGGGACAAAGATAGAAATGTTAAAAGCAGGTGGGGGATATAGTTTTGGAGTGGTTGGTGCTCTTATTTAATAATTGTATGGAAGAGGGTAAGGTACCTAGGGATTGGCAGAGAACATAGTTCCTTTGTATAAAGGCAAAGGAGACAAAAGAGAGAGTAAAAATTATAGGGGAATAAGTCTGTTGAGTACACCTGGTAAAGTGTATGGTAGAGTTATTATTGAAAGAATTAAGAGTAAGACAGAGAGTAGGATAGCAGATGAACAAGGAGGCACGAGGAATGCTAGGGAATGTGTAAACCAAGTGTTTACAGTGAAATATATAGGCAAACAATATTTAGATAAGGGTAAATAGGTTTTTGTGGCATTTATGGATTTGGAAAAGGCGTATGACAGGGTGGATAGGGGGCAATGTGGCAGATGTTGCAAATGTATGGAATAGGAGGTAGGTTACTGAAAGCAGTGAAGAGTTTTTATGAGGATAGTGAGGCTCAGGTTAGAGTATGTAGAAGAGAGGAAGATTATTTCCCAGTAAAAGTAGGCCTTAGACAAGGATGTGTGATGTCACCATGGTTGTTCAATATATTTATAGATAGGGTTGTAAGAGAAGTGAATGCTTGGGTGTAGGCAAGAGGTGTGGAGTTAAAAGATAAAGAATCAAAAACAAAGTGGGAGTTGTCACAGTTGCTCTTTGCTGATGACACTGTGCTTTTGGGAGATTCTGAAGAGAAGTTGCAGAGGTTGGTGGATGAATTTGGTAGGGTATGTAAAAGAAGAAAATTAAAAGTGAATGTAGGAAGAGTAAGGTGATGAGGATAACAAAAAAAATAGATGATGAAAGATTGGATATCAGATTGGTGGGGGAGAGTATGGAGGAGTTAATGTATTCAGATATTTAGGAGTGGACGTGCCAGTAGATGGGTCTATGAAAGATGAAGTGAATCAAAGAATTGATGAGGGGAAAAATGTGAGTAGTGCATTTAGGAGTCTGGAGACAAGAACTTTGTCCATGGAAGCAAAGAGGGGAATGTATGAGAGTATAGGTGTACCAACACTCTTATATGGGTGTGAAACATGGGTGGTGAATGTTGCAACAAGGAGAAGGCTGGAGGCAGCGGAGATGTCATGTCTGAGGGCAATGTGTGGTGTGAATATAATGCAGAGAATTTGTAGTTTGGAAATTAGGAGGAGGTGCAGGATTACCAAAACTATTATCTAGAGGACTGAGGAGTGGTTGTTGAGGTGGTTCAGACATGCAGGGATAATGGAACAAAGTAGAATGGCTTCGAAAGTGTACAAATATGCAGTGGAGGGAAAGCAGGGTAGGGGTCGGCCTAGGGAAGGTTGGAGGGGGGATAAAGGAGGTTTTGTGTGTGAGGGGCTTGGACTTCTAGCAAGCATGCATGAGCATGTTAGGTAGGAGCAAATGGAGACAAATGGTTTTTAGGACTTGACGTGCTGTTGGAGTGCGAGCAATGTAATGTTTATGAAGGGATTTAGGGAAACCTGCAGTCCTGGATATGGGAAGTACAGTGCCAGCACTCTGAAGGAGAGTTATTAATGTTGCAGTTTATAACTAGTGTAAGTGCACCTCTGGCAAGATAATGATGGAGTGAATAATGATGAAAGTTTTTTTTTTCGGGCCACCCTGCCTTGATGGGAGACGGCTGATGCGTTAATAATAATAATAATAATAATAATAATAGAAACTTAATAGGAAAATAATTTAATCACTTTTATTTGCATAGTGTTTTAAGGCACTATTTACCAAAGTTCAGTTGTCGAGTTTACAACTATTGGCAATGCCTTGTATGTATAATTGCAATTTTGCTAATGGCCCTCAAACTCTCAGTCTTTCAAGCTCATTAACATATTGATACAAGACATTCCTGAACTTCAGATTAATTTGTATATTAATAGGCACCTGACAATATTACTTTTGACAACTTATGAAGCCAGAGCAAGAAGGTTTATAATGCATAGTTTACCATGTTTTATTCAGATTGCAAGTTGTGTGAATAACTCAGTGCCCATGAAATACAAGGCATTTTGTCAGTCGCTCATGGAAATATGAAATAGAAATTCATATACTTGAATTATTAACCTTCTTGCTAGTGCTGTAATTGCATGCAGACCTCGGAACCATGAGTTACGTGGTGTTTACAGGAGGGACTCGACTCACTAGATGCTCTGAGTGCCACTCTTGCCAGTCTGGGCTCCCCCACTCATCCCCCTACCTCTACTACCTCACCGCCCAACCCCATAAGCAGCACCACCACCACCATCACCACCACTGCTGTCACCACCTCTGCTGAGTCACAATCAATTCACACGGCTCAAACATCCCAGGTTAGCTACCACTTGGTAGTTAGCCTTGAGGGAGTACAAGTTAGACAAGCTGAAACTCTTCATATATGTCTCTCCTTATAGGCTAACCATATTATAGAGTAGAATAATTAATTATAGGCATACCATTTGCTTATTATAGAGTAGAATAATAACTTTATATATACAAATGGTTATAATAATAACCATAATTTTAAAGAGATGGACCAGTAAGCCAGCGGAAGTACTCGGTCAGATGACCAAAAGCTCCAGCTGTGGGTCATCATATGATTAAGACCTGCATCAGGAAGCACTTGTTCTGTTTTCTGACATACATTACCAGCAATAATAACTTAGTAAATTAGGCATATTATGTAGAGATTCTCATTTATACAGTAATAATGTCTTTTTATCTTGAGTCTTTCCTACTGTTTATAGCATCTTGCTATGAATACATAAATGCTGTATGAAAAATCACAAGTCACTATACTGTAACTAAAACAGTTCACAACTAACCAGCCAACCAACTGGAGATGAACTAATACTTTTCAGTATATCCTGGAGAATTATCAGATCTATTAATGACTTGATAGTAGTCCAGGATGGTGTGTAACATTGTTTTACTTCATCAAAAATTTATGGGTTAGTTATGAAATGAATGCATTTGATAGTTATTAATCTAGTACTGTATTTTCTGTCTGATTGAAAATTATACTAACATTAGTATGATTATCATGTAACATAAGTATTAAGAGTTGTTGTGAAAGTATACAATTATGGCATAAAGTACCATGAAGATTTTGACAAAAATAGTATTTCTCATGTGGCAATTGCAAATAACTGACATGACATACTTTTGGAAATTTGTGCAGCATGGACATGCTGAAGACAGAATTCAGATTTAGTAGTGTTTTTTACACTGCATGGAAACATGAGGGCATGGTTTTGTATCATTTCATTTGCTGTAAAGAAAATTATATTAAGAAAATCAGTCACAACACCATGACTTAGAGAAAATTTCTACTAACACTTAAATTGGAGATGTGATGGACTGCCATCAAGTTGTTACTTGGGTAGGTAATGATATAAAATACTGGCAGGATGAAAAGTAGACACTGATGCAGTTACAGTAATACCCGGGTTTTCGTCCAGTGCGGATATTGTACATTTCGGATTTCGACCACTATTTTGGGTGAAATTTTACCCCGGGTTTCGTACCTCCACGTATGCCGGGCTGCGGCATACGTGACTCAGTCTGCCTCTGTCACTTGTATGGTGAGGAATACTCTGTGTGTTCGTCCGAAACATTTTGTAATTATCCATTGATTTTGTGCTTGCGACTGCTAAATAAGCCACCAAAATAAGACTGGGCAGGCGATGCAAAATGCCGCCAATAAAAAGTAGGGGCGCCATTGGTACACTAAGAGAAAACACCATAAGTGTCCGGGGCCCAAAACTGTTCAACAGCCTCCCATCAAGCATTAGGGGAATTGCCAATAAACCCCTGGCTGCCTTCAAGAGAGAGCTGGACAGATACCTAAAGTCAGTGCCGGATCAGCCGGGCTGTGGCTCGTACGTCGGACTGCGTGCGGCCAGCAGTAACAGCCTAGTTGATCAGGCCCTGATCCATCGGGAGGCCTGGTCGTGGACCGGGCCGCGGGGGCGTTGATCCCCGGAATAACCTCCAGGTAACCTCCAGGGGCCAAAGAAAGTTCCTAGTGCCAGCCCTTTGGTAAAGAAGGTGAGAAACACAACAAAATTCAAGAAAGAGCTTGTTGCAAAAATGCGAAAGTGGCGTACGTGTGGCCGAGCTCGCCAGGATGTATGGCAAGTCCAAATCAACAATCAGTTCCATCCTGGCGAAGAATGTAGAAATCAAGGAAGCTGATTTTGCGAAAGGGGTAAATATGCTAATGAAACAGAGATCACAAACAATCGAAGATGTGGAGAAGTTGTTGTTGGTGTGGATCAATGAAAAACAGTTAGCGGGAGATAGTGTTGTGGAGGGGATAATTTGCGAAAAGGCAAGGCAGTTGCATGCAGATCTCATAAAGAAAATGCTTGGAACGAGTGGCATACACAGTGTGGTAAAGCATGGCTAGGCTGCAAGTTCGGACAAACATGCAGCCAAAGAATTCGTTGATGAATTCAAGGAGTACGTAGAGACTGAAGGATTCTTCCCCCAACAAGTGTTCAGTTGTGATGAAACAGGCCTCTTTTAGAAGAAAATGCCAAAGAGAACCTACATCACGCAGGAGAAAAAGGCACTGCCAGGACACAAGCCTATGAAGGATAGGCTAACTCTTGTTCTGTGGTAACTCTAGTGGGGATTTCAAAGTGAAACCTTTACTGGTGTATCACTCTGAAAATCCCCGAGTGTTCAAGAAAAACAATGTCATCAAGAGTAAATTGTGTGTGATGTGGAAGACTAACAATAAGACATGGGTCACGAAGCTAATTTTCATTGAGTGAGTCAGTGAAGTGTTTGGCCTGAGTGTGAAGAACTACCTCATGGAAAATAAATTGCCACTCAAGTGCCTCCTAGTAATGACATTGCTCCTGCTCATCCTCCATACTTGGAAGACCAATTGTTGGAGGAGTTTAGTTTAATCACAGTGAAGTTCTTGGCCTCTAATACCACTCCTCATCCAGCCCATGGACCAGCAGGTTATTTCTAACTTCAAAAAACTCTACACCAAAACATTGTTTCAAAGGTGCTTTGAAGTGACCTCGGACACTGAATTGACCCTAAGAGAGTTCTGGAGGAATCACTTCAATATCCTCAATTGCATAAGCCTTATAGATAAGGCTTGGCAGGCAGTGATTTCTAGGACGATGAACTCTGCTTGGAGAAAATTGTGGCCAGATTGTGTCTTCAAGAAGGATTTTGAAGGGTTTGAGGCTGACCCTGACGACCCTACACCTATTGTGGACTGTATTGTGCCTTAGGGGAAGTCCATGGTGTTGGATGTGAGTGGCCAGGATGTGGAAGAGTTGATGGAGAACCACAGGGAAGAGCTAACCACTGAAGAGCTGCAAGACCTTCAACTGGAACAGCAACAGATCACAGCTGAGGAAATTGCTTCAGAGTAGGAGGAGGGGAGAGGGAAGAATGTGCCTTCTTCCATGATTAAGGACATTTGTGCAAAGTGGAGTGAGGTGCAAAGTTTTGTGGAGAATTATCACCCTAACAAAACTGTTGCAAGCCATGTCTGCAACATGTTCAATGACAATGCCTTGTCCCATTTTAGGCAAATCTTAGAGACGCCAGAAACAGAGCTCTCTGGACAGAGTTTTTGTGCAACAGGGCTACAGTGACTCTCAAGCTGGTCCTAGTGCCAGTAAAAGACAAAGAAGGGAAGTAACCCTGGATAGGGCTTTGATACCCGAGGTCCATATGGAGGGGGATTCCCCTCAAAACAATAACATCTCCCTCTCCCCTCCTCACCTTCTTCCATACGCTAACAAGAGTCTTCAATAAAGGTATGTAATAGTGATCTAAATGTTCATTTATCCATTAAAATTAGTCATTTATATTTATTTATCATTGTTTTCTGTATGTAAAACTATAGTTATTCTCTATAAAATGTATTTTTTGTTAATATTTTTGGGTGTCTGGAATGGATTAATTGGATTTACATTATTTCTTATAGGAAATATTACTTTGGTTTTCGTCCATTTCAGATTTCGACCTACCTTCTGGAACAGATTAAGGATGAAAACTAGGGTATTACTGTACATGGAAGTTTTATTGATGATTTGCTCAAAGAGTGGCCTTATCAGTCTTGATCAAGGCTACAGTGTGGGTAAATCATCAGAAAGCTTCCAGTTAACTACTTTTGTGTCTGTTTCTCTTCCAATTGTTACTTGATGAAGATACAGAACAGACCAAAATGTTTCAAGTTTCATCTCCAGCTTATGGGTTAGGTGTAAATTACATTTTTATATGTAGATAATGTTGATGTTAAACAAAAAATGCAGTAGATGTAATTAATAATAACCTTAATGACATTGTGGATTATTAGTGCTCTAAACCATAAACTAAACAACAAGTATTTTCATCAGAGCCGAGAAGAGAGTGCCTGGCAGAGCGATACTGAAAGTAGTTTTGGTGGGACACGACCAATCACTCCTGGTTTTCCCCCTGCAACACCTACGACCCCATACCTGAACCAGGGACTTCCGCCAAAAAGTCCAACCATGCAACGGTAAATAATTTTGTGTGTGTGTGTTTGCATTTTCAAGATCTTCACTAATTTCCCAACCAAGTGCATGTTCCTGCAAGAATCTGCATTATTGTTCATAACTTTAAGACTCTTTGAATTGATAATATTCTTTTGATCTAAAATATTTAAAATAATTGCTTGTTGTAAGACCTGTTTTTGCTAGCATTTCAAACACTTACTCTGTATATGGATTAGCCAGTGTTTCAGATCTATATTTAAAATATCCTAAACTTTTCTTAAGATATTTATCACTCCCAAATCAAGTGTCAGTTAATAGAGTGGTAGATTAATGTAATCATAACATGATGAAGTTGACTTGCTCCATTCTCGGTGGTCACTTGTATTCACTGGTACATACCACTCTGCCTAGTCTCTCCTAACTTCACAATTATTGTTCCAATGAGAAGAAACATTAACATGTGTTCATCTGTGCTTTTTAAGTGTCCATGTGAAAATATTATTTTGGATATTGTGCTTTTTTCATTTTTAAAGAGATGCTTAATATAAAATTTTGATTTGTCTAAGCTTGTGATCTCTTCACATTTTAAGTATTATATTGCACATGCATATGGTAGTAAAATTAAATTGAATACCATGATTTTCTCTGAGAGAACAAACTCTAATCCTGATTATATTTCCTCCCCTCATCTCTCTCACTCACTCTCATGATTCTGCTAACCAACTTGCCGACCCTATTGGTGCCACTGGCAATCTTTGCTGCTGCTAACAAATGGGGAATTTGCAACTCTGCATGCTGCTTACCCTACAATACTACAATGGCATTGCACACCTAATCTGTAATATTCACATCAATATTCTCTGACTAACCTTTTCAATACTGTAAACTGAAAATGTTACCCCATAATATCCACTTTGACTGTGATCCATGGGTACCCTTGTGTTGATTATCTTTGTGAAAAACATTGTTGATGAAAATGTGGATGGTGACCTGAACATTCTTTGTTTGTTAATTATGTTGGTGATAAATGTGCATAAATGTTGACTGGATGCCAAGCAGAAGAGCTCACCTTGGCCTGTCTTCTCTCTCGTCTCGCCCTACCGTCAAAAAGTCTGCGTCACTTCCCAGGTTAGATTTCAGAACCACAGATTATATCCTCACACTGTTAATCATTAGTGAAGTTCATCATTAATAAATATTTTTGCAAGGTAGGCAATTATCATAAACTTAGGTTAATCAACTGATACAGTATTATTTATGTATTTCTCCTTTTTGTTTTTAGTTAAAATTCGTCAGAGATGTACTTATATAATATCCTCGACCAAAAAAATCAATACTGAATAATGCTATATACGTTTACAGCCAGGTTAACATATTATTGGTAGCATGTTACAGTAAATGATTATATATTTAAACTTGCTTTGATAGTACAGGTTGGCCATCACTAATCCAGCAGTCAGTTATCCGGTTCCATCAGTAATCCGGTACTAATTTTGGCTAGCATAATTTCAAATTTCATCATTATACTGACTCAAATTTCATCATTATACTGACTCAGAAATTGTGCAGATGGTTATAGATCCACAGCAGCAAGCCAGTGGAGGAGAAAGCAGTGATGAAAATGAGGAAGATGTAGCAGATGTAACCTATTGATAGGTTAATTAAGTGTATTTATTCTAACCTAACCACTTTGTAATCCGGCAAACTTACTAATCCGGCACACTACAGGTCCCACTGATGCCGGATTAGTGATGGCTGACCTGTATCAAAAAGTTACATGGTTTAGAGTACAGGTATTAAGCAAGTAAATTTTTAAATCTTATAACAAAATTAATAGTTATTTGAAATGCATGGATGAAAGTTTCTTAAACATTGACTGATTAAGAATGAGAAGCCACTTTGAAAAAATTAACACTGGTAAGAGAGAGGCGTATATTGCGTCTTCAGTTAGAGATTGTGTTCAGCAGTTGATGGTCTTCAGCAGAACTGTTGAAGGTGGTCTTTGACTGAGGCCAAGGTATGCAGATCAGTTTTTTACCCATGTTTGAATTTTCTGTCCAAGTGGTTTCTCATTTGAAATATTTGTACATTCATTATGAAGATCAAGTGTACCTTTGAAACCATCAAATAACTGGCATACAATATGCACTGACTTTTAAAGGAATTATGTAAATGTTAAATTTAAAATTGGAAAGACAGATAAAAGAGTACATAGTCAATACTGTACTGTACAGTGAAACTCTACAAACTGGACTTGCTTAACAGATTATGCAGAGCTTGTAGGACAAGCTTATTATTATTACAGTATTATATTCAAAGGGTAGTGCTAAATCCAAAGGGGTCATATATCACCTTGGAAATGGGAGGTAATCAGGTTTGATCTAACGAGGAGGCAAGTGCTAATTCCTAGGATCAAAAGCCCTGCACCAGCATGAAAGTACTCCCTTGAAAGGAGAAAACACTTATAATCTTCTCAAATGGAAGCTTTTTTGCTTTAATTGTACTGATTATACCCTCATTATGAATCAAGTGCATGGATCGTGAAGGTTTATATAGCAGCATACTGTTAGTTTAAATAGCATGAGAATTACTACAGCACTAGCTACTGCATCATTATGATATGCATACTGAAAACTTTTCATATAGCTTCAAATCTGTTATTTTAGCATTTTTTTGTATTGAAACAAATCTCACGTCTTCAGCTTATACAAGTACAGTATTCTGCAATTGATTTAGTCTTGTGTGGCCATGGAAACATTATTCAAGTGCATGCTGTGTAACGGTAAGAGTTTAGCAATTTTCTAGTAATGAAACTTGTGTGTAGTAGCATTTGTAATGCTTTTTTCAAGTCTAGGGATAGAGAGTCATACTTAATGGTTACGAGGAATATAAATCACAGTATTGTAACTGGAATAATTTACAACCCAGAGTGTAGATGAAATATTAGACAATGTTTTTGTCCATCCTGAACCACTTAAGTGATAATGGTCCAGGACATGCTAAAACATTATCAAAAGTTTACTCTTCTATTTATGAGTTAGCTATACCTTCTTTATTAATGTTCATTTCTCTAACATTTATTACTCCCAAAATCCTTCTCGGATTTCATCTCTATTTTAGTTTTTGCTTTTTAGAATAAAATCATTATATGTAGATTAAAATACAACATTTGGAATAGATAAAACTTGAGCAGAAGTGTGGGGCCAGGGACCTATTTTAGTATCTTCTCATGACCTAAGGCGAGTTGAGACTATGGGTAAGTCTTACACCAGTAGCTCTTGTTTATCTAACACTAAATAGGTGGGAGGCATCCTGGGACTTGGCACAGTACACGTCAGCTAGGTCTGACTTTGGAAATAAGCTGTAGGACAATGACAGTTCTTTGTATGTAAACTCAATGGTGTAAAAGATTTAGACATATTTTAAGCATGAGGGTGTAAGTGTAAATGTTGCAGTGATAATGGTGAGAGAGTTTTAATTCTGTTTGTGATTGAGAGAGATTAGATTTTGCTGCCAAAGCAGCTAGTATATTGAGCACCCCTATATCCATCCTATGGATGGTAGTGCAAAAGCAGAGAAGTTTAATACAACATGCATATAATAGAATAACAGTATGAAGACTATCTGGAAGAAGGTTTTTATTAGTAAATAAAAGTTGGTATGTGCAAAATGGTGTCCCCCAATGATGAAACAGATGAATGATTAATACTTAGGAAATTAAGAATTAATGTCTTAATGATAAAGGAAAAAATAAAAAAAAAAGTTGGTATTGATCTTAAAGGAGAATGCTGTGAATGCATAAATCTAAAGAGACAATACAGTGGAACCTTGGTTGTCAACTGCATTACTTGTCAAACAAATTGGTTTTCAAATGAGGAATTTGAGAAAAAATGTCCTGATTTTGTACGTTCTCTTGGTTGTCAATTGACAACACGAGTGGCTCAGGCCACTTGCTCACTAACTCGCTTGCTGTAAACATCTCTTGAGCTTTTGTTGCGCATCTTGTGAACTTTTTTTGTTATTTTGCAGTGGAATTTTTTTATTGCAAGATAAGCCATGTAGTGCAATTTTATTTATTGTGAGATAAGCCATCATGGGTCCAAAGAAGGACCATTTCAATATCCTCAGCTGCTTGAGGCTTATAGACAAAGCCTAGGGGAATGTGTCTTCCAGGACCATGCAGGCAGCATGGAAGAAATTGTGGCCTGACTTTATGGCAGCCAGGGATTTTGAAGGCTTTGAAGATGAGTCTGAGCGGTAGAGGATATTGTGACCCTGAGGAAGACCTTGGGCCTAGAGGTGAATGAAGATGTTGTAGAGGAGTTGGTGGAGGAGCGTAGAACTGAACTCGCCACAGAAGAGATTGTAGACCTTCAGAAGGAGTAGCAGCAGATTGCAGCAGAGGAGCTGTCATCAGAGGAAGAAGAGGGAAGGGATGATGTGCCCATTGCAATTGTCAAGGAAATGTGTGCTAAATGGTGTGAAGTACAGGAGTTTGCTGAAAAATACCATCCAAACAAAGCAGTGGCCATTCATTATCTTGTTTTCCCTTTTTACTTCAATGGTACGGTTCTCACTACATGTTCTAGTGTGGGGGTAGCTTAACCCTTTGACTGTTTCAGTCGTATATATACGTCGTACAAGCCACTGTGTTTGATGTATATACAGTATACTCAAAAATTCTAGCGGCTTCATATCAAGCAGGAGAAAGCTGGTAGGCCCACATGTGAGAGAATGGGTTTGTGTGGTCAGTGTGCACCATATAAAAAAATCCTGCATCACGCAGTGCATAATGAGAAAAAAAAAACTGACTGTTTTTTTGGATTAAAAATGCTGACTTTGTGGTGTATTTTCGTATAGTATTTATGGGTGTATTCTCGTTTTCTTAGTCTCATTTGATAGAATGGAAAATATATTGATTGGTTTTACTATGAAAAGAACCTTGAAATGGAGCTCTAAGTAGGTGAAATGTTTGATTTTTGCCGATGTTCAAAAGTAAACAGATGATGTCATTTTCCAGTAAATGTCCAACTAGCCATTCTAATATGCAGTCATGAATGGGTTGACATTATTTATACAATTATTACAGTATTGCAGTAGTCTGCATAACAGTAAATTTTCTATTTTTTGTTTGAATAAAAATTCAAAATAGAAAGCAAGAGTAATATCAGAGGGGCCTAGAGACATGACTGATGAACAAAGAAAATGTTATTTTATAGCCAGGAATGTCTACATTGTTCATTCTGGACTCTATTTTGAAATTGTCATATTTTTTAATTTTCGTGAAATTGACCAAATTACAAATTTCTGACCATGTTATTGGGTAGCTGAAATCGGTAAATGGGCAGTTTTTTATACTCAGTCGATAGAATAAATGGAGTTCTAAAGAAATAGCTATGAGTTTGGTGGACTGGAACAATGGAATTAGCCGAAAATAGGGCTCAAAGTAAACGAAATTGCCGATTCTTAAATATTGCCGAGGTCGCTAATTTTGCGAGAGCGTAATTCCATAACTTTTCCATCAATTTTTTTTTTTTGTCATTACCATCGGGAAAAGATTCTCTATCATTTCATAAGATTTTTTTTTTCAACAAATTTTCGATACCTCAGGATTTTGGGTTTCAACAGTCAAGGGGTTAAAGTATCTCCCAGCCCAAGCTAATGCATGTGTTAGGGAATCATAATTATTTCTTGTTCTAACTTTGTAAAATGTCATATGGATCTTGAGAAAAAAATTTGAGAATTTTGATAAAAAAAATTGAATGTGAAGGAGAATGATGCATGTATATATTTTACACCTTCCGTAGTCTATAAAATGCTGATATGTTATAAATGTTTTGTTTGAACATGGTGGTATTGCATTAGTTTGCCGTGACATTAATGTGGAGCAATGTACAAAAGATTTGCTCTTGCTGAATTTGTGTATGCCATTTTAACTCTGAAGTTCACAATGAAATAAAACTAAGAACCGAAATCCAAAGGACTTGCAAAACTTGTCTCAGGGTCTGGAATATTCCCAGATCTGCTTACTAACCACTCTGGCACAAATAATTTTAGCAAAATCTGATCTAGAGAATCACTGCAAACTGTTTGTGATCAGCCAAGCTGTGAGGCCTATGCTGAAGTGTATTCCACAGCTTGACTGGCCACTGTCAAAACACAACCTTTCAACAGAAGTACACCTTGATGTCAGTAAAGGTCCTTGGTCCAAGGAATTGAAGCTATCTGCTCATTCCTTTGATTGAATCTGATTGCCTTCGATTCCCTGGCACCATATGACCCCACCAGGTTTTGTGCCCTCTCATGAATATAATAATAATATGTACTGTCAGAAATATGCATACTAGTCTGAGACCAGCCTGTGAGGGCAGTGAACTTAGAACCAACAACAGGTAGGGATCAGTCAGGTTCCAGCTGGGCTGCTGAAGATCATTACAACTCAAATCCAGTTTTAATGATTTTTCTTGCCTAGGACACCTTATCCATAATCCAACCTGTTCCAGTCACTTTGCTTTATGACATTCAACTAAAATTTTAATCAAGAGCACTGAAGGAGTCAAAGAACTCAAGATTTCAGCTGTTGGTTTAGTAGAAGGCAATTACTGTATGTGATATCAACAGGTTGAGGAAATGACACATGTAGACATGCAAGACACTCATTACAAACACATTCCAGGGTCCTTTTTCACTTTCCTATGATAAAAAGTTTACAACAAGCAATATAGAAAGCCAGGGTACAAAAGAGTGAATAGAAGCCAGGTAGCTATCGGCAATAGACAGGTCAGTTTATGCTGAAGGGAAGGTCACCTGAGGGATGTGTTATGATGTGGGTGGGACAAAGAGTGGGCTAGACTCATGTGTGCTAAAGTATCTGAGATATTGTAACTTCCTGATTTGTTTTCAGTATTGGAAAAGGCAGTCAGAGAAGCTTTAAGGCTCTGCCATCTGTTCATCTTGGATGTTTATTTTTTGCCAGATAAAACTGGCACATTGAAATTTATACAGTTCAGAGTAACAAGCTGCATTCTTTGGTAATTAACTTGGGCTAAACTTATGGGGTATCTTCCTTATTATAGCATGTATTGTCAGTAATATTTTGAACTCAATCAGAAGAAATATTCTTTAGTTATTGAAAAAAAAATCAGTATCACTATTTTTTTAAAATAAAACTGGCAAATTGGGTAAAAATGTAAAGATAATCAGATGAACTATTCTCTAGTTACTGCACAGATTCCAGTGATTCAAAGTTTTTTACTATTTTACCACATCAACAAATTTGGCAGCAGACAAATGAAACTTAATAGACACTCTCTTGGCCCTAACATGAATCATCTTTTAACCCTTTGACTGTCGAGACCCCTGCTCACAAATTTGCTCTCAGTGTCGAAGAATTTAAAAAAATAAAAAAAATATTTTTTTTATGAAATGATAATCTCTTCCCAATGGTAATGACACCAAAAGTACGAAATTTGATTGAAAACTTATGGAATTATGCTCTTGCAATGTTAGTGATCCCGGCAATATTTACGCATCAGCGATTTTGCCCATTTGAGCCTTATTTTTGGCCAATTCCATTGTTCCAGTCAACCAAACTCATAGCTATTTCTTTAGAACTCCATTTGTTCTGTCAATTGAGTACAAGTAACTACCCATTTACCAATTTCAACTACCCAATAAAGTGATCAGAAAATGGCAATTTGGCCAGTTTCACACAAATTAAAAAAGATGCCAATTTCAAAACAGGGTCCAGAATGAGCAATGCAGACATTCCTGGCACTAAAATAACATTTTTCTCTGTTCATCAGTCATGTCTCCAGACCCTTCTTATATTACTCTTGCTTTCTATTTTGAATTTTTATTCACACAAAAATAGAAGATTTATTGTTATGCAGACTACTGGATTATCGTAATAATTGTATAAATAATGTCAACCCATTCATGACTGCATATTAGAATGGCTAGTTGGACACTTACTGGACAATGATGTCACTTGTTTACTCTTGAACATAAGCAAAAATCAAACATTTCCTCTACTTTGAGCTCAATTTCAAGGTCCTTTTCATTGTGAAACCAATCAAAATCATCTCTATTCCTGTAATATGTCTTCTATTCTATCAAATGAGACCAAGAAAATGAGAATAAAACCATAAATATTATACGAAAATACACCTCAAAGTCGGCGTTTTAATCCAAAAATACGGTCTATGGTTTTTTTTTCTCATTATGCATTGTGTGCTGCAGGATTTTTTTTATACTGCACACACTGACCACACAGACCCATTCTTTCACATGTGGGCCTACCAGTTTTCTCCCGCTTGATTTGAAGCCGCTAGAATTTTGGAGTATAAATATGTTAAAAACACTGGCTTGTAAGATGTATATATACGACCAAAACAGTCAAAGGGTTAAATACTGAAGCTGTTCAGAAGAGATACACTGAAAATTATTTAATGCGATTTATCCAGAATAAAAATTTCACACTTTTACACACAAATTTGTCAGATCCGCACATACACATCTGAATTTAACCCTGTGCCATTGTTGAAGTTTGTGGAAAGATTTTAGATGGTGATTGAATGAATGATGGTGAATGTGTTTTTTTTTTTTTTTATTTTTATTTTTTGGGTCACCCTGCCTTGGCAGTAGTCTGCTGCTGAGTTAAAAAAATGCAACCATGAAATTGCCTTCTGCTAGTGAATTAAAGATCACATAATTGAAAGTAAGCAGTGTTCTGATTAACCTTTGATTAGATTTGAATTTGGAATGAGTCACATTGAAAAGCATGGTAACTCACAGCAGGAGTATAATGTCTGGTTTGTGGAGTTTACTGTCAGTTACAGACTTTTAATAAAATTCATTTATATACAGTATAACTTGCTGTTGCCTACTTGCTTAGTGCTTATGTAATACCTTCATTATTCACTTATATTACATTACTTATATAATATCAATAATGGGTACTTTATAAAGACATTTACTGTTACAGAGAGATAAACCCCTTAGCTGCAGTTATTGCAATATATTTCTTAAATTTGTTTTTTGAAGATGTAATAATTAAAGTTTTCTTGGTTTGCCATAACAGCAAAGAAATGGGAGTGAGAAGCCCATCCCCTGCTACATCGCAAACATTACGACAAGAAGTCAATGGTCACTCAAGCCCAGCTCCTTCCCTTTATCATGGCCAGTCACGGCGTTCATCCCTCACCTCCCTCAGCGAGTCAACGGAGGTCATTTCTTCACATCCCAAGTTTGTTAAGGACATCTCAAAGTTCTGGTATAAACCAACCATAACAAGAGATGATGGTGAGAGTCTATGTATTTTTATATATTAAGAATTTATATGATAATGAATAAACTTTTATCATAGAAAACATTAGAAATATGTAAATGATAGTTATGCATTTTTATAACTGAGTAAACATATACTACAATTCTTTATGTGTGTATATATACAGTCTTATATAACTATGAAGTACTGCTAGAAAGTTCCTGGATTGCCATGAAAAAATGTGTAGGCTTACCTAATCACCTAGTTGAAGTTCTCATTTCAAGTACTCCTTGGAAGGCTGTACACTGATCCCAACACCTCTACCACTTCTTGAAACATTCTGGAACTCTTTCCTACTGGCATCTAGAATGACCTGTGACTCTGAATCTCCTCCACATCACTAAAATGCCACCACTTGGTTACCATTTTTATTTTGGGGAAGAAAAACAAATCACAGAACACGATGCTCTTTCTGGTCTTGAGTCAGCAAACAAAATGCAAATTTTGCAGTCACTCACCTCATATTCAAATTTTCATTCAGAATGCTTAGACACAGTCCATAACAAACTCCTACAGCACTTTCAATGTCTTAGATACTCTGACGATGATTTGGCATCTGTTTTTGACATTCATTTATGACCATTGCACTCATCATCCTCAACTGATATTTGTTGCTTTGAATTGAGAAAACCATTCAAAACACTGACTGACCCATTGCTTTGTTGCCAAATGCTTGTTGAAACATTTTGTGAGTTTCACTAGCCATTTTGCTAAGCTTGAAACAGAATTTTACATGCACACTGTGTTCTTTCTTTTAACCCTTTGAGGGTCCGTGCCATAGTTCTATGGCTTTTAAGTCAGTGTCCATGCCGTAGTTCTACATGATGAGCTCGGCTCATTCAGATAACCTGTGAGCCTAAATTTGGGCCTAGATAAGAGAGAAAGGGTCGATGCAATAAGTTGGAAGATATATTATAGAAATAAGAGATGATTTTGATGGATTTTAGGACTGAAAATAGCTTGAAATTGAGTTCAAAGTAGCAGAAATGTTCGATATTTGCCAGTGTTTGAGCAAAATCATGTCATGAGTCCAATACACGTTAACTGGCAGGTCTAAAATGCATTCATGAATGTGCTGATATTATTTATACAATTATTATAATATTGCATAACAGTAAACCTATTTTTTGTGTGAAAAAAATTCTTTGAATAAAAAATCAAAATGGAATTCACGTGTAAAGCTTGGTAACGTAACTAATGAACAAAGATAAGGAAATGATAGTGCCAAGAATGCCTGCTTTGTTAATTCTGGAACCTATTTTAAAATTGGGATTTATTGAAATTTGTGCAAAATTGGCCCAATTATCAATTTCTGATCACTTTATTAGGTAGTTGAAATAGTTGATTGGGTGATTTCTTGTGCTCACTCAATAAAATGGGACACATACTGGCAAAATAGCTAAGACTGATCTACTAGAGCAATGTAATTGGCCTAAAATAGGACTCCAAGTGGGCAGAATTGCAGATGCGTAAGTGTCACTGACAGCAAAATTTTCGAAAATGTAATTTTGTCAGTTATTGATCAACTCTCATATTTTTTTGTTTTATTACCTTCAGAAAAATATTCTCCACCATTTCATAAGAAAATAATGCTTTTTTTTTTTTTTCTTTTTTAACCCTTTCAGGGTCCAAGGCCCAAATCTGGAGTCACGCACCAGTGTCCAAGAATTTTCAAAAAAAAAAATTTGTTATTTTTTCTTATGAAATCATAGAGAATCTTTTTGTGAAGGTAATAAAACAAAAAGTACGAAATTTGGTGGAAAATTGACGAAATTATGCTCTCGCGAATTTTGATGTGTCAGCGACATTTACGAATCGGCGATTTTGCCGACTTTGACTCCCATTTTAGGCCAATTACATTATTCCAATCAACCAAATTCTTAGCTATTTCACTAGTATTACTTCTATTCTATCGATTGAGCACAAGAAATCGCCAAGTCAACTGTTTCAACTACAAAATAAAGTGATCGGAAATTGTTAATTTGGCCAATTTAACACAAAGTTCAAAATATTCCAATTTCAAAATAGGGTCCAGAATAAACAATGTAGGCATTCCTGGCACTAAACTAACGTTTCCTCTGTTCATTAGTTATGTTTTGAGGCTTTACAAATAAATTCCATTTTTATTTTTTATTCACATAATGAATTTTTATTCACACCAAAAAATAGAAGATTTACTGTTATGCAATACTGTAATAATTGTATAAATATCATCACCATATTTGTGAATGTATATTAGACCCACCAGCTGACGTGTATTAGACGTGTGAGGTCGTTTGTTTCCTCTTGAATATCGGCAAAAATTTAACATTTCCGCTACTTTGAGCTCAGTTTCAAGCCATTTCCTGTGCTAAACCCAATCAAAATCATCTCTATTTCTGTAGTATGTCTTCCATTCTATCAAATAAGACCAAGAAATCGCAAATACAACTATAAAAAACATACGAAAAAACACTGCAAATTTGCTGTTTTAATCGAAAAATCATGATTTAAGTTTTTTTCTCATACACAGTGTGCTGCAGGATCTGTTTTATGTGGTGCACACATACCACATAGATTTATTCTCTCATATCTAGGCCCAAATGTACCACTCACAGTTTATCAGAGTGAGCTGAGCTCATGGCGTAGATCTACGGTTTGGACCCTGAACGTAAAGCCGTAGATCTACAGGACGGACCCTGAAAGGGTTAAATTCTTGGACCCAGTGGACAATTTTTAGATTGGGATTCTGGACCCTCAAGGGGTTAAAAGTTCCAGTTTGTTACGCAAAAAAATTGCCATCATGACTCACAAAATCATAACATGATTGTAAACAAACCACAGAATGGGGAGGGGGGGGGGCTTCGAAAGAACTTGAGCTAGATTTGATCACGGCCATGCTGGTGGGAGATTCATCTGTAAAAACTTGCATTTGTGGTCACAGTGGTGTCCATGCTAACCTCCCTATGGTGTATAGACATATACCTAGTTGGATGAATCTTACTATAGCCAGCTGGCTGAGTGGCTTACTCAGTGGCCTGGAGTTATACGACTCCTCGCCTTTGACTTACACCCTACCTGTTCCGTAGTTCATTTGCAGTCATGATAGTACAATTTTGTGAGTCACACATATAGTACATATATACAGCAGGGCCCCGCTTTACGGCGTTTCGCTTTACGGCGTTCCGCTAATACGGACATTTCAAATTATGACCAAAACTCGCTATACGGCTCCCCCCACCTGTCTTTCTAATACGGTCACAGCTGCCCACCGAGTTTGTTTACATTCTCCCTGAGCACATCTTATTATGTCTGGAAACTTTCCAAAATTTCAAGTGTTTTAAAGTTATTGTATATTTTATATGTATTGTACTTGATAATTAAACTTGTGTACACCTGTACCTAAATAAACTTACACACTGTGCTGGCATGTAGGTACACATTAAAATCACTAAGTCTCTCTACTCTTCATGCAATAATAATAATAATAATAATAATAATAATAATAATAATCTCTTGGGCACATTAATGTCGCATATTACGTTAATATAGACATTTCCCTTAATCTATCTATGATATTTTTTTCAAAAGTATATAAGAAACACATTATGTAACACACAAACATGATACATGCACCCACAGTATAAAAATTTATACAAATATATATGAGATGTTTACCAAACGGTTTGTAGAAGTGTCGGAAGAATTACGTTTTCTCTAGCCCGTCACCTGTTACTAGGGATAACTGTAGAAAAATATTCCTTTCGTATGCCTTCACTTTATAGCTATAATTCTGTACTAACTTGTACACAGTGTAAGAGTATTTGTTTTGTGATTTAATTATTATAATAATAATAAAAATATTATAAGGTAAAAGTTTCACAAACTCTTACAAATGTACATGAATGAACTAAAACTGGACACGTATTAATACCGTCTATTTTGCCTGACCGAGTGATCGTCCACAACCTGTTCAGTTTGTTTGTTTACGCTGTCTGAGCTCGGTGTATCATTAAATGTTGTATATTACGTTAATATACACATTTTCATTAATCCATCCGTGATATTTTTTTCAAAATTATATAATAAACACGATACATAACATAAATACATAACATATGTGTAGAGAACCTAGGATAACCCAAAAAAGTCAGAGTGACTTACTTCCATTGCCTTCACTCAGAGCATCATTTCTTCTCAAAATGATGTTACATGAGAATGGGAGTGTTCTTCTTTATTTATTCTACCGTATCAATGTAGAGACAACCTGTACACAATGTAACTTGTACACAAACCAGACGTGTACACTGTTTACAAAACTTACGTTCGCCTGGTTTGTTTACATAACTCTGCGCCTGTCCTCTCTCATGCACTCATTCTTTCTCTCTGGTATGGTAGCCTGGCTGACTACCATACATACCACACTTGATTTTTTACAATAAATACTACTCATCTCACCCTATATTTTAAGGTAAGTAATGAGTGAACTGTATATACATTTTATCGCTCTGGGATGCTTAAATATCATAGAATAGTATGTGTGGGTGGGGTGGCCTGGTATGGTAGCCTGGCTGACTACCATACATACCACACTTGATTTCTTACAATAAATACTACTTGTCTCACCCTAGATTAAGACTATAAATATTTTAAGGTAAGTAATGAGTGCACTATGTGTGTATTGTACTTTTTTATTGTTTTTTGATGCCTGGTTCTATTGCTAACATAATATATGTTAGTGTAAACTTGTTATCTAGTGTTTGTATGCATTTGTAAGTGAAAAAAAAGGGTGTTCCACTTTACGGCGGTTTCCGCTTTACAGCGGTAGCCTGGAACCTAACCCGCCATATAAGTGGGGCCCTCCTGTACTGTACATACATGCAAATAATCCCAAATGAGTGATTAATTGCTTGGATAGCAACTCTAGGCCTTTCACACTGTCCCCGATACTTCACCAGGTCTCATGAACCATAATTCCTAAAGATTGAGAATCTGGATGGTGAAATATATGATTAATGTAATGATTCTTGTTTGTTTCTGAAGGAAGCAGATATGTATTATGGTATAGTATGTTGGTTAACTTAGTAATACTGTATTATAATATCATGAGTAACTTTGAATAGTATTCCATGATCCTCCTCAAAATTTTAATTTTATTATTATTCTAATTTGTTTTCAGCTATAACAATGCTCAAGGACAAGACACCAGGCACGTTTGTTGTTCGAGATTCCAACTCGTTCCCTGGAGCTTTTGGCCTGGCCTTGAAAGTTTCTACTCCACCACCGAACGTGACAACAAAGTCCAGTGACCCAGCTAGTGAGCTAGTGCGTCATTTTCTTATTGAACCAACTTCAAGAGGAGTCAGACTCAAAGGATGTGCAAATGAACCTGTATTTGGTAAGTCATTTAGCAAATTAGGGTTGGACATACTGTTGATGTAAGGAAAGTATCATTTATGAATGGATTCAGGGAAAACGATTAACTAGACTTGAATACTGGAGGTGGAAATGTAGTGTCTGCACTCTGTGGGAGGTGTGGAGAAATTACACGCTTGTGTACACTCACACGTACACACATACTCACACGCACGTGCAACCAGGACAACCCCAATGCAACCAAACATTCTAACCCAAAACATACATGCCATGCCCATTGCCCCCACCCACCTCATTACAAACTCCACCTCCACAGCAACCACCCATAGTTCCTCATCAGGTCTCCCACTTCCCCAACCCTAACATACTCCCAGACTACAGTTTTAGAAAAGTTGAAGGTTTGGTATGCAAATGCAGACAGAATAACAAATAAATGTAAGGAATGGCGTGAAAGAATCAAGGAGACATTCCCAGACTCTTGTTGGTGTATGAAAGACAGGGAGGAGGGGAGAGGGAGGCTAGCATTTACAGAAATAAAACTCACCAGGATGATAACAGATGCAATCTTTCCAACCGGTTATCAAATCCTGGGGAAAGATAGGGGGAGCAGAGGGGGAGGAGGAGTTGCACTGCTCATTAAAAACTGATGGGAATTTGAGGAAATAGAAGGAATGGATGGAATGGACAAAAGGGACTACATAGTAGGAACATTCCAGTCTGAGGGCCACAAGGTGGTAATTGCAGTAATGTACAACCCACCGCAGAACTGCAGGAGACCAAGAGAAAAATACGAAGAGAGCAACAGAGCAGTGGTAGACACTAGCTGAGGCGGCCAGAAGAGCTCACATGGGGTGGAGCAAAGTTGCTAGTTATAGGTGATTTCAGTCACAAGGAGATTGACTGGGAAAACCTGGAGCCCCATGGGAATCCTGAAACATGGAGAGCCAAGATTATGGATGTGGTATTGGAAAACCTCGTGCATCAACATGTTAGAGACACTACCAGAGAGAGAGGTAAGGATGATCCAGCAAGACTGGACCTAGTATTCACCTTGAGTAGTTCGAACAACGAGGATATGATGTACGAAAGGCCCTTTGGAGCTAGTGATCATGTGGTTCTGTGCTTTAGATTACATAGTTGAGCTACAAGTGGAGAGGGTAGGAGGAGTAGGATGGGAAAAACCAAACTACAGAAGGGAAAACTACACTGGCATGAGGAATTCCTGCAAGACATTCAGTGGGAGAGAGAAATTGCAGGAAAACCAGTAAAAGAAATTATGGATTATGTGACAACAAAATGCAAGGAGGCAGAGGAGGGGTTTGTTCTCAAGGGAAACAGAAATAATGGGAAGACCAGAATGAGTCCTTGGTTCACCCAAAAGTGTAGGGCGGCAAAAACTAAGTGCACTAGAGAATGGAAAAAGTACAGAAGACAAAGGACCCAGGAAAATAGAGATTAGCCTAAGTGCCAGAAACGAATATGCATAGATAAGAAGGTAGTAGGCTCATAGACAGCAGCCATCCAGGAAGGTACTACCGTCCTGCCAGGTGACTGTGAAACAGAAACCTGTAACTTTTACATGATGGTAGGATTGCTGGTGTCTTTTTTTCTGTCTCGTAAACATGCTGGATAATGGGTATATCTTGCTACTTGTACTTATGCTTAGGTCACACTACACAGGCATGCACATGCATATATATTCATACACACATGTAGGTTTTCTTTTTCCTAATAGCTCTTTTTCTTCTTTATTTCCTCTATTGTCCATGGGAAAGTGGAAAAGAATCTTTCCTCCAAAAGCCATGCGTGTCGTATGAGGCGATTAAAAAGCTGGGAGCAATGGGCTAGTAACCCCTTCTCCTGTATACATTTACTAGAAAAGAGAAGAAGAAAAACTTTATAAAACTGGGATGCTTGAATGTGTGTGGATGTAGTGCACATGATAAGAAAGATGATTGCTGATGTTATAAATGAAAAGAAGTTGGATGTCTTGGTCCTAAGTGAAACAAAGCTGAAGGGGGTAGGCGAGTTTCAGTGGGGAGAAATAAATGGGATTAAGTCAGGAATATCTGAGAGAGTCAGAGCTAAGGAAGGGATAGCAATAATGTTGAAGGATCAGTTATGGAATTAGAAGAGGGAATACAGATGTGTAAATTCAAGGATTATGTGGGTTAAAATAAGGGTCGGATGCAAAAAGTGGATCATAGTAAGCATGTATGCACCTGAAGAAGAGAGGAGTGTAGAGGATAGAGAGAGATTTTGGGAGATGTTAAGTGAATGTATAGGAACCTTTGAACCAAGTGAGAGAGTACTTGTGGTAGGGGGCCAAAATACTAAAGGAGAAACATTTAGAGAGGGTGTGGTAGGTAAGTTTGGGGTGCCAGGTGTAAATGATAATGGGAGCCCTTTGATTGAACTTTGTATAGAAAGGGGTTTAACTATAGATGATGCATATTTTAAGAAAAAGAGGATAAATAAATGTACAAGATATGATGTAGGGCATAATGACAGTAGTTTGTTGAACTATGTATTGGTAGATAAAAACTTTAGTAGACTTCAGGATGTACATGTTTATAGAGGGGCCACAGATATATCAGATCACTTTTTAGTTGTAGCTACAGTGAGAGTAAAAGATAGATGGGATACAAGGAAAATAAAAGCAGCAAGTAGGAGAGAGGTGAAGGTCTATAAACTAAAAGAGGAAGCAGTTAGGGTAAGTTATAAACAACTATTGGAGGATAGATGGGCTAGTGAGAGTATTGGCAATGGGGTCGAAGGTGTATGGGGTAGGTTTAACCCTTTGAGGGTCGACAGGCCCTCTCCGAAACTCGTTCTCAGGGTCGGCGAAATTTAAAAAAAAAAAAAAATATTTTCTCTTATGAAAAGATAGAGAATCTTTTCCTGATCATAAAGACACCAAAAGTTTGAAATTTGATAGAAAACTTACGGAATTATGCTCTCGCAAAGTTAGCGGTCTCGGCGATGTTTACGCATCGGCGATTTTGCCCACTTTGAGCCCCATTTTCGTCCAATTTCACTGTACTAGTCGACAAAAAACATGAATATTTCGATAGAACTCCATTTTTTCTATCGAATGGGTGCAAGAAACCACTCATTTATGAAATTCTACTATCCAGTACAGTGGTCAGAATTTAGCAATTTTGCCAATTTCACACAAATTTCAAAAGATGCCAATTTCCGAATAGGGTCCAGAATAAACAAGAAAGACATTCCTGGCACTAAAATGACATTTCCTCTAGTCATTAGTCATGTCTCAAGGCCCCTCTTATATTCTTTTGCTTTCCACTTTGAATTTTTATTTTCACAAAAAATATAAGATTTACTGTTATGCAGACTACTGCATTAGTGTAAAAAATGGTATAAATATTATTGGTGCACTTGTGAAAGAATATTAGACTCACCAGTTGACGTGTATTGCACGCTTGGCACGATTTGTTTACTTTTGAAGTTTGGTAAAAATCGAACATTTCTGCTACTTTGAGCTCAATTTCAAGGCACCTTTCTTTGTAAAACCAGTCAAAATCATCTCAATTTCTGTAGTATGTCTTCCATTCTATAAAATGAGACCAAGAAAACTAGAATACAACAATAAATACCATACGAAAATACACTGCAAAGTCGCTGATTTATTAAAAAAAAATGGTCAAAGTTTTTTTTTTCTCATTATGCACTGTGTGCTGCAGGATTTTTTTTAGACTGTGCACACTGACCACATAGACCCATTCTTTCATATGAAGGCCTACCAGCTTTCTCCCACTAGATTTGAGGCCGCTAGAATTTATGAGTACTAGTACGTCAAAAACCCCTACGCGTAAGACGTACTAGTACGACGAAAACCCTCAAAGGGTTAAGAATGTAGTATTAGTGTTCAGCAGAAGTTTGTGGTTGCAGGAAAGGTGTGGGAGGGAAGAAGAGTGATTGATGGAATGATGATGTAAAGAGAGTAGTAAGGGAGAAAAAGTTAACATATAAGAGGTTTTTACAAAGTAGAAGTGATGCAAGGAGGGAAGAGTATATGGAGAGAAAAAAGAGAGGTTAAGAGAGTGGTGAAGCAATGTAAAAGGAGAGAAAATGAAAGAGTGGGTGAGACGATATCAGCAAATTTTGTTGAAAAAAAAGAAAAAGTTTTGAAGTGAGATTAATAAGTTGAGGAAGCCTAGGGAACAAATGGATTTGACAGTTAAAAATAGGAGAGGAGAGTTATTAAATGGAGAGTTAGAGGTATTGGGAAGATGGAGGGAATATTTTGAGGAATTGTTAAGTGTTGATAAAGATAGGGAAGCTGTGATTTCGTGTATAGGGCAAGGAGGAATAATGTCTTGTAGGAGTGAGGAAGAGCCAGTTGTGAATGTGGGGGAAGTTTGTGAGGCAGTGGGTAGCATGAAAGGGGGTAAGGCAGCTGGGATTGATGCGATAAAGATAGAAATGTTAAAAGCAGGTGGGGATATAGTTTTGAAGTGGTTGATGCTATTATTTAATAAATGTATGGAAGAGGGTAAGGTACCTTGGGATTGGCAGAGAGCATGCATAGTTCCTTTGTATAATGGCAAAGGGGATAAAAGAGAGTGCAAAAATTATAGGGGAATAAGTCCGTTGAGTATACCTGGTAAAGTGTATGGTAGAGTTATTATTGAAAGAATTAAGAGTAAGACAGAGAGTAGGATAGCAGATGAACAAGGAGGCTTTAGGAAAGGTAGGGGGTGTGTAGACCAAGTGTTTACAGTGAAACATATAGGTGAACAGTATTTAGATAAGGCTAAAGAGGTTTTTGTGGCATTTATGAATTTAGAAAAGGCGTATGACAGAGTGGATAGGAGGACAATGTGGCAGATGTATGATATAGGAGGTAGGTTACCGAAAGCAGTGAAGAGTTTTTACGAGGATAGTGAGGCTCAGGTTAGAGTATGTAGGAGAGGGAGATTATTTCCCAGTAAAAGTAAGCCTTAGAAAAGGATGTGTGATGTCACCATGGTTGTTCAATATATTTATAGATGGGGTTGT